GGTTGCTGTGAGCTATGACATGATGGCACTCTACCTAGGGCAACAGAGTGAGACTCAAGTCTCAAAAAAAAAAAAAAAAATCCATGTTGCAGAAAATAGGGCAAAACATCCAAAACTCATTTTCCATTTAGATCTTGAGTTTGTGATAATTTCTTTTTTTTTTTTTTTGAGACAGAGCCTTAAGCTGTCACCCTGGGTAAAGTGCTATGGCATCACAGCTCACAGCAACCTCCAACTCCTGGGCTCAAGTAATTCTCCTGCTTCCGCCTCCTAAGTAACTGGGACTACCGGTGCCCACCACAATGCCCAGCTGTTTTTTGGTTGCAGCCATCATTGTTGTTTGGTGGGTCTGGGCTGGATTTGCCTGCCAGCTCTGGTGTATGTTGCTGGCACCTTAACCGCTTGAGCCACAGGCACTGAGCCAAGTTTGTGATGATTTCAGCAAATAAACATAGAGGATCTATTATGGGCCAGGCACTATAAAATACTGGGATACAAAAATGAATAAGACGTCCATTTCCAAGCTGGGTATGGTGGCTCACACCTATAATCCTGACATTTTCGGAGTTTGAGTGGGGTGCATTGCCTGAGCTCAGGATTTTGAGACCAGCCTGAGCAAGAGCAAGACCCCATCTCTTCTAAAAAGTAGAAAATCTAACTGGGTGTGGTGGTAGACACCTGTAGTCATAGCTACTTAGGAGGCTAAGGAAAGAGGATCTCTAGAGCCCAGGAGTTTGAGGTTGCTGTGGGCTATGATGCCATGGCACTCTACCCAGGGCAAGAGAATGAGACTATATCTCAAAAAAAAAAAAAAAAAAAAAGACATCTGACATCTGTTTTCTGTTTCTAGCAGTATATTATTGATCATATAACCTATTTTATCCTCAGGATGAGTACTAAAAGTGCTGCTTGATTTTTTTGTTGTTTGTTTTAGGTCATTTGAAATTGAGCAGTGAGTTGGCAAGTTAGTGAAAAGAGACCCAAAACAAAGTAAAAATGGTACCCCAGACTGGTGATTGGACTACTAAAATCAGCTTCTCTCATTTAGAGTAATTGCTAAAATAAATGAAATTTAGGCTTTGGTGTCCAGCCTCTAGAAGCCAGCTGGACAGAAGATGTACCTCTACCATAAAGCTATGACCTCCCCCTCCCCAAAAGGATACATCCTTAGGAGGGAGCTATAAATTGCATCTGTTGGAGAAACAACAAAAGAGTTAAGCCCCCCAAAATTAGAAGGATAATAATTAGATAAAAGTAAAGACTTGGGGCTCGGCGCCTATAGCTCAACCGGCTAAGGCGTCAGCCACGTACACCTAAGGTGGCGGGTTCGAATCCCCAGCCCGGACCCGCCAAACAACAATGACGGCTGCAACCAAAAAAAAATAGCTGGGCGTTGTGGCGGGCGCCTGTGGTCCCAGCTACTTGGGAGGCTGAGGCAAGAGAATTGATTAAGCCCAAGGGTTTGAGGTTGCTATGAGCTGTGGTGCCACGGCACTCTACTGAGGGTGACATAGTGAGACTCTGTCTCAAAAAAAAAAAAAAAAAAAAAAAAGTAAAGACTTGGTGCCTGTAGCTAACTGGTTAGAGCACAAGCCACATGCATGGGGCTGGTGGGTTCAAAGCCAGCCCAGGCCTGCTAAACAACAATGAAAGCTGCAACAGCAACAAAAATAGTAGCTGGGCGTTGTGGCGGGCGCCTGTCGTCCCAGCTACTTGGGAGGCTGAGGCAAGAGAATTGATTAAGCCCAAGGGTTTGAGGTTGCTATGAGCTGTGGTGCCACGGCACTCTACTGAGGGTGACATAGTGAGACTCTGTCTCAAAAAAAAAAACAAGGGTTTGAGGTTGCTATGAGCTGTGGTGCCACGGCACTCTACTGAGGGTGACATAGTGAGACTCTGTCTCAAAAAAAAAAAAAAATATATAAAAGTAAAAATTAATGAAATAAAATACAAACATACCATACCATTGGATCAAAGAGGATCAACAAGACCAAGAATTGATTCTTTGAACATACATGTATTTAATAATATCCAAAAATCATTAGCAAAATTGATCAAGGAAAAATGAAAGATAATACAAATAAACAAGTTTAGGAAATGATGGTAGAGGACGTGGGGAGCCATTATGAGGATAGAGTTCTCTTTCTGGATGAGGAAAGTGTTATAATGGTTGCACAACTCTGAATATACTAAAAACTATCAAATTGTACACTTTAAGCAGGTAGTTTGTATGGTATGTGAATTATACTGAATAAAGCTGTTATATACAGAGTGGCCACCTGTATTTAAAAAAAAGATGTTTGGGGGCGGTTCCTGGGGCTCAGTGAGTAGGGTGCTGGCCCCATATACCAAGGGTAGCGGGTTCAAACCTGGCCCCAGCCAAACTGCAACAAAAAAATAGCTGGGCGTTGTGGCAGACGCCCATAGTCCCAGCTACTCGGGAGGCTGAGGCAAGAGAATTGCCTAAGCCAGTGGTTCTCAGCCTTCCTAATGCCTCCTAATACCGCTACCCTTTATTTTAATACAGTTCCTCATGTGGTGGTGAACCACAACCATATAATTATTTTCATTGCTACTTCATAACTGTAATTTTGCTACTGTTTTGAATTGTAATGTAAATATCTGATATGCAGAATGTATTTTCAGTGTTACAAAGGGGTCGCAACCCACAGGTTGAGAACCACTGGCCTAAGCCCAAGAGCTGGAGGTTGCTGTGAGCTGTGATGTCACCACACTACCAAGGGCAACAGAGTGAGATTCTGTGTCTTTTAAAAAAAAAAAAAAGTTTAGCCAGGTGTGGTAGCTCACACCTGTAATCCCAGCACTTTGGGCAGCCATTACAAAAATGAAACAGGAAAAAATTATTACCCTGCATTTGTAGTCCTAGCTACTCCAGAGGCTAAGGCAAGAGAATTTCTTAAGCCCAGGTGTTCAAGGTTGCAGTGGTCTATGATCATGCCACTATTAGCCTGGAAGGCAGACTTATCTCTAAAAAAAAAAAAAAAAAAATGTTTGCAAAAAGCACAGCAAATTGGCATCAGTCTGTGTCTGTGTTTAGTCATAAAACAGAATAACAGAATATTGAAAAATAGTGAATGATGGATGAATTATAACTCCAGACTACAGTCTAGATCAATCTCATATAAGCTGCGTATAAAAAGTTGCAGAAGAATCATACATACGTGTGATTCCAGTTATTTACAGTTCAAAAACTTACAAAACTATATGGCGTATTATTTAGGGATATAAATATGTGCAAAAAAAAAAGCAGCAAGAGATTGTTAAACACAAAATTCAGGCTAGGGGCTCCTCTGAGAGGAAATAGAAGGGGACAAACAGAGTTTGCTAATGACAGTATTGGTGACAGGTTCTTTTTCTTGTCTTTCTTTTTTTTTTATTAAATCATAGCTGTGTACATTAATACTGTCCTGGGGTACAGTGTGCTATTTTTATATACAATTTGAAATATTTTCATCAAACTGGTAGATTCTTTTTCTTAAACAAGTGGTAGGTACACAGATATTCATTGTATTGTTATCCTTATGTCTTTGCCATGCAAAGTGTGTTTTACTAACCAGCTGTGTTGGCATCCCCTGCAAGTTCGTAAGTAATGCAGAATCTCAAGATCCCAGACCTACTGAATCTTTTTTTTCTCCAGACAGAGTCTCAGGCTGTTACTCTGGGTAGAGTGCTCCAACATCATAGCTCATCGCAACCTCAAACTCTTGGGCTTAAGTGATTCTCTTGCCTCAGCCTCCCAAGTAGCTGGGACTACAGGT